GAATAGCCTATTTAAAAATCTATAAACCAGCTAGAGCAATTTAATTAGTATGACAAATAGCGAAATGTAAACTTGCTCTAGCTCTACAAGGGTTGCAAGCCACCTATCCAATAATTCTAGTTACTATGATCACTATACACACAATTTTGCTAAGTCACTACTCACTAAGAGCTCTCACACTTGCTACACTAAAGAGCTCCACTATATGAACTTAAACTACAAAGCAAGCTCTCAATTCTAGCTACACTAAAGAGCTTGCTACAACTACTTTACGAGAATATAAATGAGTGAGTAGGGTGATTATACCGCCGCGTAGAGGAGTGAACCAATCACAAGAAGAATACCAATTCAATCAACTGGAGAATACCAAAGGGCAAGAGACAATTAATTTTTCTCCCGAGGTTCACGTGCTTGCCGGCACGCTAGTCTCCGTTGTGTCGATCAACACTTGGTGGTTCGGAGTCTAAGAGGTGTTGCACGAACCTCGCCCACACAATTGGACACCGCAAGAACCTACCCACAAGTGAGATAACCAAATGACATGAGTAATCCACTAGAGTTACCTTTCGGCGCTCAGTCGGGAAAGGCACAAGACCCCTCACAATTGCCGGGAGATGGCCACGAACAATCACCAACTCGTGCCACTCCTCCTCTGCTGCTCCAAGCCATCTAGGTGGCGGCAACCACCAAGAGTAACAAACGAATCCGGCAGCGAAACACGAACACCAAGTGCCTCTAGATGCAATCACTCAAGCAATGCACTTGGATTCTCTTCCAATCTCATAAAGATGTTGAATCAACGATGGAGATGAGTGGGAGGGCTTTGGCTAAGCTCACAAGGTTGTTATGTCAATGCAAATGGACAAGAGAGTGAGCAAGAGCCGGCCAAACAATATTTATAGACACCCCCAAATAATAGAGCCGTTGGCTCAATTATTGGGCTGACTACTGGGATGACCGGACACGCAGGTCGTGTGCATCGGACGCGCAGGTCGTGTGCACTAGATGCGTCCGGTGTGGTGACCGGACGCGTCCGGTCGCAGCCTGACCGCCACGTGTCCCTTTCAAATTGTTTAGCCATTCGCGCCCAACGGGTATCTCTGCACACAGTAATACTGGTGACCGGACACGCTGTTAGAAAATGACAGGATGCGGGAGATGCAGCGTCTGGTCAAGTCCAGAGAGCTCCTAGAGCCGCTCTGGGCCGACCGGACACGTCCGGTCACAACGGACCGGACGCTCCCAGCGTCCGATCAATTATAGCGCTGAAAACCCGAGTCTAGCTGGTTCACACGTCCTCCGGTGTGGTGACCGGACGTGTTCGGTCGCTGCGTCCGGTCGTTGTGTCCGATCGAGTCTAGAGAGCTCCCAGAGCCGCTCAACTACGACCGGACGCGTCTGGTGTGGCCAACCGGACGCACCCCTGTGTCTGGTCCTCTCTGGACCAACACCCGCGCCCCACGTCACCTCGACCGGACGCTAAACAATGATTGTTTAGCGTCCGGTCACTGCATGACCCAGAGTTCGATCATTTCATCAAATCTGTCGTGCCTAGCCAGAATATCGAACACGTCCGGTATGGATATCGGACGCGTCCGGTCACGTCGGGAAGATACCGTACGCGTCCGGTCCTCACGTCGAACGCGTCCAGTTACCCATGACCAGCGCATTCAACTTCTTTTCAACTCTATCTTCTTTACCCTTTCTCAAATGTGCCAACCACCAAGTGTATCACCTTGTTCACATGTGTTAGCATATTTTTCACAAATGTTTTCAAGGGTGTTAGCACTCCACTAGATCCTTAATGCATATGCAATGAGTTAGAGCATATAGTGGCACTTTGATAACCGTATTTCGATACGAGTTTCACCCCTCTTAATAGTACGGCTATCGATCCTAAATATGATCACACTCACTAAGTGTCTCGATCACCAAGACGAAAAAGCTTCTATCAAGTTTCACCTTTGCCTTGAGCTTTTGGTTTTTCTTTCTTCTTTTCCAAGTCCAAGCATTTGATCATCACCATGCCATCACAATCATCATGTCATGATCTTCATTTGTTTCATCACTTGGAGTAGTGCTACCTATCTCATAATTACTTTGATAAACTAGGTTAGCACTTAGGGTTTCATCAATTCACTAAAACCAAACTAGAGCTTTCAACGGCTGGGATTGAATCACTGTGGATCTACAGTGGTCTGAGTCTTGCATGAGGGGCTACGCCAAGGCGAGGTGTCGAGGGAGGGGAAGACGGATGCAGGTGGGGTCGAAGAAGCCATGGCGAGGAGGGCGGACTCCTGCGGAGCAGGCGAGGCGGGGATTTTGTTTCCGCCTTCGATTTTTAGAGGATGGATGGATAGCGCTGACACCATGACCTAGTCTTGGGGAGTGCTAAGTGGTCTCCAAAACATGTGCCATGGCTGGATCAGGTGGAGCCTCACGTACGGACGGAACGGATGAACGGCTGGGATTGAATCACTGTGGATCTACAATGGTCTGAGTCTTGCATGCGGGCTGGCACTATTCATAAAGCTCATCTTTGCGATGGGAGCAGGGGAAGAGAGGGGCGGGCAATGGGAGGGTGGACCGGCGGCGGGCCGAGAGCGTAAGGATTTTTGTCTTCTTTGCGAGAACCTCCGAGATGCAGGCGAGCGTGGCGGCCACCCAGTGCGTGGAGTGAGGATGGAGAACCTCTGAGATGCAGGCGAGCGTGGCGGCCATCCAGTGCGTGGAGGGAGGATGGAGAACCTCTGAGATGCAGGTGAGCGTGGCGGCCATCTAGCGCGTGGAGGGAGGATCAAACGACTGGTGGCACAAAACTGTGGATGAATAGTAAACTGAGTCTGCAAAACGGGGTGCACAGTGTGGCTCACCAAAAACAAAGAAGTTTATAGATTTATAGATAGATTCTGTAACGTGGAATTAGACGACCAGAAATGTGTGCAGTATTAACTTGCAGTGACAAGTCACCGCATGCTCGCATTTGATCTCCGTCTGTCTTCGGAAGGTCTTTGCAATACATATAGTTTTTCTTGTATTGTAATGTATTAAATATAAGTAATAATAAAATGGTTCTCTTTTAGAATCTATCAAAAAAAAATGGTTGAACCAACCAGAAACGTAGCAGTAACGTTTGCAATTTTGCCTAACGGTTCATTGGAAAACTGAGCCGCGGTCAATGTCTTTTCAGCTGGTCAAAGCAAGAGATTGGGCTGGCCCACTGGACACCGGCCCGATCCAAGGCCCACCAAAGTCGCTCGTCCAAGGAAGTATTTCTCAAAAAAAAAAAAAAAAACTGGACACCTCCCAGTCCCAGCAGGGAAGAAGAGTGACGAGCTGGGTGAATCCAAGCAGTCCACCGTTAGATGAGCGGCGGGAGATGGCCCGGCGCAGCGGCGACAGGATCCGGTTGTGGTGTACGCGACGGGTCAGCCGGTCAGGAGCGGAGCGGGGGAGAAGGCATATAAAAAATGCGAAGGCCGCCTTCTTCCTCTTCCTCCTCACCTGGCATCCAGAGAGGAAGGGGAAGGAGGAACTCGGGGGGCGCAGAGGGGGCGTCCGGAATTTCCTCTGCTTCCGTTTACCGTGAATCCTTTGCCTTAAGGAAGAACCCGTGCCTCTGCTTGATCTGTGTTCTTCTGGAGGAGAGGAGAAGCGGAGGAGGATTAATAGAGCTGGAAGGTGAATTGGGCACAGAGACGCGCAGTATTTTGAAGGTAGGTACTGCTCTTCCCAGTCCGCTAAACAGCGGTTCCTTTGCTCTTTTCCTTGATCGTTGCTGTATGCAGCTGTAATTTTGGCGCGGATTGGAGTTTGGAGGTTCGCACCATGATGGCAAGTTTTCTTTGGATTTCGTGATTTGTTTGAATTCTCGATGTGTAAGGTTCTTCGTGGATGGTTGTTCGATCTGAACGATTCATCCCCTTTTTCTTGCTGGGATTGGATTCTCTCCCACTTTCAGCTCCCTTCCTATGCTGGGATTCCTCTGGTTTTGTGATTCCGGGATCCCACATGAAGTGCGGGGATATCTCAAGTGGATTATTTGAAATCGATTCTCCGGGAGCTGCATTTCGGCATGACTTGAATCAGTTTGCGCTGCGATCAAGCGCAATCTGAGCTGCTTGACTTACGATTCCCGTGATTTGGAGTTGGTTGGGAGTTTACTGATTCGGATCGAACGATTTGGCTAACAATCTTTACCAATTTTCACTTGGTATTCCTTGGTTGTTCGGTCGGAGAAGGAAGCAGAATCTGGAGTTGTTTAGGTTGGTTGCTGGTTGTGGTTTGGATCTCCTCCGTTTCCCCCTGTTTTTTGTCTGGCGTTCTGTATCATATTCGTTAAGTCTGCCCATTTCAGTCTTTCCCCCTTTTACAAGGAAGTTGTTCTGTTCCTTGCTTGATTTGTCTTTCTTGTTCTATCCCAATTTGTTGTCGCTCTCTCAAAATCTCCTTTCCATTTGATTGTTGAATTACTGAGAACGCAAAATTGTGTATAATACACCGAAGAGTCCAGATTTCATTTGATTGATCGATTGCTTGTTTTCTTCGATTTTACTCTTGAGCTAATGAGTTAAATTGAGCTCAGTTACATTTTTATTCCAATTCGATCTCTTTTAGCCTTTTTCTGATGTGACATGGGTTCAATCAGAAAGCCAGCAGCTCACCATATGTGATCAGTCAGTTAAAACCGAGTTGGAATTTAGTGTTCATACCGTTTTAACTCAGGATTTGATTGGTCAGTGGAATCACTACCCGTTTCCAAAATATACTTTTTTTTTGGGTAAAATCAAACTGAAATTTGGCGATGGCTCATCCCCTTGCAATCAGTCTCCTACCTTTCAGTTTCTCCTCCTTTGCGTGGCTTTGCATCAATCTATGCAGAGAATTAAAGCAGATGGCTTCTCCTCTGATCTTGAGATTTTTTTTGGATGATCTGATATGAGCTAAACTTTCCCAGCATTTCATCCGTTCCTCTACATGGAATTTCAGCTCGTCGCGAAATGGAGAAGGAGGCGAGGAACCACTACCACACGCGGGGCTCCTCGCGCGGCGGCGGCGGGGGCACCGCTGCGGAGCGCGACCTGCTGTTACAGTGGGGCAACCGGAAGCGCCTTCGCTGCGTCAAGGTGCAGCGCCGCGACGTCGAGGCCGCCGCCACCGCGGCCGCCGAGAAGGCCCAGCGCCGCGCCGCGGCCGCAGCTGCCGCAGCCGCCCAACACCACCCAACCGGTCACACCCACCACCGCGTTCTCAGGTCTGTGTCTTTCTCTTTTTTTTTTTTCGTTCGTTCCTTCGTGGTGTCGATGTGCCCATTGCGTGTGCCGCCTGGCTCTCTGCATGCTTTGTTTTGGTGGCTACTCGTTAAACACTTAAACTAGTGCCCATTTTTGGGCTATTTGGTACAGCAACAACTGGGATGTCACGTGATGCCGTCCTGGGCACGTGGCGTCGACAAGAAAAAGCAGAGGCCTGATCTGGTTTCGTTTTGATTTGAGAAGAAATTCGATTTGAATGAATGGCGGACAACTGGACATCGAATTCGAAGATGTGGTCTGTCTTTATCCTGAAGAGCTGAAAATACCAAAATTGCTAGTTTTCTGGTAGAGGAGCCGCATGTTAAGCGAAGCAGTGATGTTTTTTGGTTTTGTTGAAGCATGATTGCCTGATTGGCATGGGTTGGCCTATGGTGGTGATTGGTCCAACTTTTTCTTCCTCCAGAGTATGGAGTAGTCCGTGCCCAGTACTGCCGAATTCAGTATTTGTTGGTTTTTACTTGCATTGCTAAAATTGGGCCTGTTTTTTTTCTTCCAAAAAAGGGGTCTGGAAGGCTAAAAGAAGATAGTGTTTAGAACAGAAATCTTGATATTAGTTACGAACACTGAAATTAGAAGCTTGTTTGGCTTATCTCCTCTCTTTTTCATTCCAGGTGAGATTGATGTCTGGAGTTTAAGGACCAACAGGCTCCTTATCTCCATCTTCGATCGATCCAGCTATATCTGTATTTGGATTTATTCTCTGAATTTTCAGTATTTCTAGCTTATGCGCCAATTTGATTTCTGCATCACATGATTTACCTGACCTTTTGTTGGTACAGTTTTCTCAAACTGATATGTGATTTTTCTTCACTGAAACTATTGCAAAAAAGAACTACGACACTGCTGTCAATAATAGCTTATCGGTATTCTCTTAAAAAAGGACTTATCAGCATTACGATAAATGTTGATGGCTGAGTGTTCTTTGCCTTCAGCTGTTGCTATCTTTGGACTCTAGTCACGTCATATCAACTATATTTTGTTGACTAATTTTGGATTCCGAAGAAAACACCAATTTTATCTTGAATCAGTCACCACCACACGTATAAGTGGATGGTGAGGGCCTGTTCATTCATTGCTCTTCCTTTTGCCTCCTTGAATTCATAGCTTGTTGCCTGGACAGCACAAAGCGTTGATATAGGCAGTAGGTGGAAGTTTTTGCCTTCTATGTTGCCCCTCTCCCCTAAACTGGAGGTGAATCATGAATTTATGCAGTCTGCCTATTTCAGAATTTAATCATATTTTGAAGTTAATTGTGCATGAGGGTTAAAAACCATTTGAACATCATCTTTCTTGCCAGAAGATTGAACTGCAGTATTATGTCCCCTTTTTTCATTTAAAAGTATCAAAATTCATGCATTCTATGTTTACTGGAAAACTCAATGAATCAAATTTGAAGAAGTATGTGTTGTTTGCACATACTTTTCCATTAATGTGAACAACTTCAGTGTGTGTCGCTTCCTTCTCTTTATCATGTTTGTTCTTTTCTAGGTATTATGTATGACTTAGAGCAACAAGATGTGTGTTTTTTGTTGGATAGATTAAAATTAATAATTAGGCATTCTCTCTGCATCCCTTCTAATCTATGTTGTTACTGATTTTGTAGGAACTCAGAAGAGTTTGCAATGATGAAATCGCCAGCACGGCAACAACAGAACAACAGGATCCACACGGTTGCTTCACCAGACAGGGAGTGCCCTGGTAGAGGTAACAACAACAACAATGGAGTTCCACAGACCTATCCAGATGACAAGAAAGGCTCTTCGTCAGGGAGTGAGGGGTCCATCTGGCCGAAGTTTGCAATCACCCTATCAAACAGGGAAAAGGAAGAGGATTTCCTGGTGTTCAAAGGATCCAAGCTGCCTCAAAGACCCAAAAAAAGAGCCAAGGTCATCCAGAGAACTGTCAATGTATGACCCTCTCACAATAGCTTCTGATTTGAAGAAATTATTTTCCGTTAAACTGAATGCAATCAATCCACATCAATGTGCATAGGGTATTATTTTGCTGTCCATGGTAAACTCTCTCCGTCCGAAAAGAATACAATTCTTGCTTCCTGAGGAGTTAAACAATTTCAAATTTGACTAAATGATATTATTTTTTATGAATTTCGTCAAACTGAAGAAAGTTTTGAGTTGTCGCAAACCTAGAATTCTTTTTTTGAATAGAGAGGGAGCAGGTAACAAATAAGTATACCTTGCTTCACACAGAGAGATTCCAAACACATAATATGCAAATACCAGTAGACAGCAGTACTGTGCATGTTCATTAAAAAAATATACTCCAAACTATAGGGTATAATTTTTTACCAGTGTTGTAAATAACTTGGTTATGCTTATTATAATAGATACAGCCATACAGGGCATCAGGCCACATGGAGGCCGCCTCTGTGCACTCTGTCTGATCTGTCCCCTGAACACCGCAGACCTGCAAATAAAATAGCGCTCGGTGGATACCTGGACATTTGATTTGCTTGCCAAGAGCACCCATAGCCCACAGCATGCTTCTGTATGAAGCAAATAAGTTTGTTTAAAAGCTGATGCCCCCCATCTGGTTGTCCCCTAGATGCTTGATGAGTTGCACTGCTGGTTGCTACTATTTGAAACTGCAGAACTAATTTACTAGTCTTGATGTCATCAGACAATGTTGTGATTGTTGTATTGATTAGCTATATCAATTTAATTCATATCTAATCAATTTAATTCATATCTATTATCTTTTTGAGAGAAAAGAATATATTAGATATGAACTAAACTGATATATTACTCCTGTGTGATTTGTTTTGAGGTCCAAGCATCCATGGAACTAAGCTTAAGAAAACTTTCTCTAGTATTTTTATATGTATCTCTTGAGTTTGTATATTTGAAAAACCATCATTCTGTGATTCTTGCCTAAATATTGTTCATCTGCAGTTTGTATGCCCAGGAACGTGGCTATGTGACTTGACTCTTGAAAGATATGAAGTCCGAGAGAAGAAGGTTTCCAAGAAGGTGGGTCGATTGTGGAATGTCGATATCTATCAATTTCATACTCTTGGAGCAATTCAGTCAGTCAGCTGACATTTGAACTGATTTTGCAGCGCCCCAGGGGATTGAAAGCTATGCACGACATGGATAGTGACTCGGAATAAAGAAGAAAAGAGCACTGAACATGAGGAGCTGAATATTAGAAAGAAGGCCAGGACAGATCCAGCAGATGGAGGCCGGCGATAAAGCATCCTGATTGAATGAATGGCCTGATCAATGGGTCACCACTTCTCGTGATTGCTACTGGAGATCAATTTGTTCCAAAAGGACTAGCTTGTGGAGATCGGAGGACGACCGAAATGTAAGGAACTTTACGGAAGAAAAGAGAGGAGAAACACAGGAGCTGGAATTCCTGAACATTAGCAACCATTCAGTTCCCTGTAAAGCAGCAACGCTGTTTTGCAAGCCTCTCGTGTTAATTTCGCGCTGCCAAATATCAACGTGATCACGAAGCTAGCCAGTCCTGGGGCGTCTAGTTTGCCGGGTTATCTGACAATAAAAATTAATGTGAATCTGAAAGGGCCTTCCATAGTTTCTTTTTTTCCTCGTGGTGCTGTATAAAGGTTCAGTGTACATTCATTCAGGAGCATGAGACAGTGTCGAGCACTCCAGTGTGAGTGGATCAGGATTCAGGCAACACAAATGATTGGACCTCTGTGTAATTCAGGACAGACAGACTTGTAAATTTTGGAAGTTTCAGTAATTTTTTAAAGTTTACACTTTATACAGATCTACCCTCCCCGTCCTAGAAAATAGAAAATTCCCTATTTGACACTAGAAAAACTTCTACTTTCCTATTTTTCACCCTCCTTTCATTTTTTTTCCCTATTTGACACTTCCTTTACGAGTTGTAACGGTGTTTTTTTTTTTTTTGACAACAGAGCTGTAACAGTGTAAGTCTCAGACGAAAATACAGTTTTGCCTCTGTTGTTTTTTTTTCCCAGTGATGATATTCCCTTTTGCTTGATGAAGAGAAACATGACAGTTGGAAATAAAAATGCCAAAAAACAACAATAGCCAGCCAAGGGGAACGGCCACAACTGGATAAAACTACAGAGGTAAACGGTCTTTTCTATTGGGACTTAAAATCATTGAAGTGTCAAATAGAAAAGAAAAAAGGTTGACAAATAGGGAAGATAAGTTTGGGCTGTCAAATAGGAAAGTAGAATTTTTCTTAGTTTTAGATAGTAAAATCTTTTCCTAAAAAAGTGCAATTGTAAGTTTAGTATAAGTCAAATTTTCTTAAGTTTGTCTAAGTTTATAGAAGATAATATCAATATTTATTTTTTCAAATAAATTTACTGTAATTTTTTTTTAAATTAATTGCTAACGCCCGAATATCCGGACGAGACGACCGCAGCTGTGGTCCATTTTCCCACGTCCACGCATGGGCCCGTGCCAGCCGGATGTTGCTCGCCCGCGCGTATCCCATATTCAACACCCGAACCACTTTTGAAACATTCAGATGCAACACTTCCAACATAAAAAAAGACGGATGAAACACTTGAAACATACGTCCGAAACACTTGCAAAAACACTTGAAAACCATTGCAAAACATATATAACATCAAGATAAAACACTTGCAATATATATGTTAAAACATATGCAATATCAAATAAATACGCTTGCAACATACGTTAGAAAAACAAATGAAACATTGGAGACAGACTTTTGCAACATACGTGCACAACCATTGCAACACATGCAACGCCCCGATCTACTTTTGCAACATTCGTATAAAACGCTTGCAACATACCTCTAAAACATCTGAAACATTTGAAATGTGAGCTTGCAACATACCTCTAAAACACCTGAAATATTTGAAATATGAGCTTGCAACATGCATCATTTCTAGAAGCAAAGCCCTCCTCCGCGTCTCGACCATCGTGAGGTTTATTAGGCCGAGTCCGCAGATGGACACCCACGTTCTAGCAAGCGAGGCCGACTGCTGAAGCTGAACTTTGATGCCGTGCATGGGTCCTGCGGCCCTGCCCAACGCCTCGCGGGACCAGACCCTCCTGTCTCCTGAAAATCATTCGTGCCGGACTGCTCGCGCCGCGGCCTACAGGCAGGTGGTGGAGCAGCGGCAGCGTGGCAATGTGGACGGCGGCCGAGCCGCGAGATGGGCGCGTTACGCGTCCTGCAGGTAGCAGAGCAAGCTGGCTGGATCAACGCGTAGGTGGCGGACGGTGACGAGCAAGGCTAGCCTAGCAGCGAAAGCACGCGTTACTTTTTCTTTTCTGATTTTTTTTCGAGCGGAACAAATCAACACGGAAGGGGATTTTGAGAACAATTATTGATTTCGGAGGAGAAGCAAGAGCAGCGCACGCTGGCGTGCGGCAGGAGCAACGGAAGGGGACAAACGTGAGGTTTATTAGGACGGCTGATCTGTAGGCCTAAGTGCGCGGTGTCCGGACGGGATGACACCTGCATCCTATCATTTCCGTTAATCTTATGATACTTATTCAGTGTCATAAGTATTTATTTTTTGTATAATAAATAAATTTATTTAAATTTGAATTTGTCCGACTGCTGAAGCTGAACTCATTGATGCCGTGCATGTGGTCCTGCGGCCCTGCCCAACGGCACGCCCGCCTGCATAGCAACCGCCTCGCGGGACCAGACCCTCCTGTCTCCTGAAAATCATTCGTGCCGGACTGCTCGCGCCGCGGCCTACAGGCAGGCTACTGATGGCACGCACATCTCGGGCGCGGCGGCGCATTCCCGCACGGACATACGCGGTGCGTGGCAATAGAGGAGCGGTCAGTCGCGGCCGGCCGAGCCGCCGTTCGTCGTGCTCGTGCGTTACGCGTCCTGCAGGTAGACTTGGCCACGCTGACGCTGGCTAGATCAACGCGTAGCCTCGTGGCGGACGGTGACGAGCAAGGCTAGCCTAGCATGAACAAGCACGCGTTACTTTTTCTTTTCTGATTTTTTTTCCCAAAACAAGAGAGAACAAATCAGGCGTTAGTTCAGACTCAAGGAATTCAACGAGCAGCTCGACAGCACAAAAGGGGCAGCGCCATGTTAGTTTATTTAAATCATCAACATACACGGATATTCAAAATCTCGATTATAAGTCATGATCATTGTTAGAGTAAAAAGTATTATCGACCTGGTTTGGTGTTGATAACATGTGAAAGTGAATGAAAATAAAAAGATAACGTCATTTCGATCGATCTCTTAGATATATATACAAGATAACGCGTCAAATAACGACCAAAATCGAATACAGATCATCTGTTGAATAGGTGTCTGTTGGCATTTCGTAGATTAAAGGAATTCAACGAGCAGCTCGACAGCACAAAAAGTTGCATTATTAGCTCGTATCGGTCGGTGCTTTACAGCAGCAGAGAGAGAAACAAAGCGAGGGAGCCAATTTTTTTATTTTTAGTTCTTTTTTTCAAAAAAAACACAAATATGTCCTGGAGTTGCTGCACCGAGCTCGGATAGCTGTACAGTGGCATTGCTGCCCCTATTCCGTAAGAGTTGGTACATACTCGTATCTACCCAAAACATAATCACCCGTTTTTGCAGATATAGCAGGACTCAGGAGCTACTGTTAGCCGGATATGAGCACATCAGCAATTGGTCCAGACAAGGAAAACATGGCAGGGAGATTAGCCGAAAGGAGCAGACACTGTCTACTTAAGACTGGCAGCAGACATGTAGCACAACTCAACAACTGAGCATCGATATAGCAAATTTGTTCCATCACAATTTGTTTGCGGAACAAATGATCATGGATATATCAGCAAACAAAGTGCAGATCAGATGATGCGAGATTAACCACAGGTCCACAGCCAGTCACAGCATACAATTCTTTCTACAGAGGGTTCATAAAACACTACTTCCTTCCCTTGCCCTTCCTTTTACCCTTTGCAGCACCCCGCTTCTTGTCACCCTTTTTCGCTTTATTCTTCCTCTTGAACGTTCTCTTCTGTGGCTTCTTCTTCACACCTAAACTGTTGTTCTTCTTGGCAAACGAGCTAGGATTCTTGTTGGTGTAGCTCGTCGCCACAGGGCCAACAGTTTTCAGGCTGATGTCATTGTCTCCAGGAGTAATTTCACTGGTGGTGACTATAATTCTGGTCCCATCATCTTCGTAGGTTTTGATTTCTGGAAGCACGATCAATTACCAGAGAATGAGGTTTGATTTCTAGAAACATCATAGTGTGACATGGTAGTTTACAAATTTAGTTAAGGTACTCACCAGACAAAGGTTCGTCATTTTCCATATCCTCACCATCATCACCGTTATCTTCATTTTCTAATCCAGCACCATCATTGTTATCCGATGACAGTACTTTACCATATAGAGCAATCTCCTTCTCTTCTTTCCTCTGTAACAAAATAACAGCACTGAGAAAGACCTAATGGCAACAACCAAGTAGTGTGCTCATGTATAATTACTGAAACACAAGCCACCTGAAAATGACATTAAACTGTTCATAGACATCCCTGTCAGGCTGTCACCTTTACATGGATATCTGTAAAATCCTTGGGTAGCATTTGGTTATTAGATTGGGGCTGGAATTGGCTCCAAGTAACTATCCCAACCATTCACTTGCCAACCAAACAAAAGCATTAAATTGGTGCCTCCATTTCAATTTTCACATGGATTTGGTTTTAGGACTTGTTGAATCGGTTCTAACAATATAGCGAACCAAAAATAGTCCAAGCAACCTACAATGACTGAAATCCTTAGGTAGCATTTGGTGATTAAATTGGGGGCTGGAACTGGGTCCAAGCAACTATCACAGCCATCCATTTGCCAATCAAACAAAAGCATCGAATTTGTGCCCCATTTCTATTTCCATATGGATTTGTATTTGAGACTTAGTTCAATTCGGTTCTAACAATTTGGACAACCAAATGGGCCCTTTGTGTTGTCTCATCGCCAAAAAAGGAGGGGGAAATCAGCTTTAAGAACTGCAGTATGAGCTGCGATCTGCAGGCATCTTCCATTGAACTTACCCATCAGTCCATTGGAGTATATATTAGCAGTCCCCTTAGTCACTACTCCCCTAACGATGCATATCAACTGTCAATTACTAGAAGCTTTCTCCATTTCAATATGAACAACATAAGCACACCCTCTTTTGGATTTCTTTCTTACTATTTTCTCCTAATATTGGACTCGTGAACATTGGCATAATGGCATACATTACTATCCCAGATGAATAACAATCTATAGGACAAATAGCAAGTGATTGGAAAGAGAAAAATCAACGGCCAATCATTTTTCGCTAGGACAAATAGACAATTTGTCTTTCATCAATACAAGAACTAGCCACCATTCATTCTAAAATTCTGAACCAAGATATCTTTCATGAACCACATCGTTACAGAATAGAAACTGATATCTTTCATGAACCACATCGTTACAGAATAGAAGCTAAACAGCTTCTGTATGTGTGTCAGGGAGAGAAGTGTTTCTTACCCTCTTGCGGTCCTGTATTTTCTTCTTCCTCTCCTTCTCCTGCAAAATCTTCTGCGCCTCTTTTCTTCTCTTCTTCTTCCTCTTGTGGAACCCAGTCACGAAATCCCTGCCAAACCAAGGTCCCGGCCACGAATTGGTCAAATCCCTTGAACCACAGTACCACAGCTATATAATGCGTCGATTGACACAATTCGCAACAAAAATAACCACTATAATCATGTTTTGCAATAGGAATTTCGCGGGTGTCGCCAACGGGGACAAGGCAAGGCAAAGGAGGTAGCCGCACCTGAGCGCTTTCTTGTCGAGCGTAACAGAGAGCGCCTTGTTCTTCAGGGCCCTCTTATTGATATGCTTTGGCACCATCACCGTCGGCATCTGCCCCACCACAACGTCCTCCTCCTCCTCCGAAGCCGCCATCTCATCCCCGTATTCCTCCTCTTCCACCGCCTCCTCCTCACACCATGGCTACGGTCGCCATTTCCCTTCGCCTAAATAATTAATATAAACCGCCAAATGTGAGATCCCTAGCAACATTACACAAGGAGAAAAATAATCTGATCGTCATCTGACCATCTACAAAAGACTTAGGATTGCAAGAGGACGGTGGAAAACTTACAATTTGCAGAGGAGGCTATAGGCAATTTTTAGCTAGAGCTGAACATTTGACTCGGTATTTCTAAGACGTATAGCCCGATGCACTATGTCTCTACCAGATCTAACTGAGCGAAGTATAATCAGAGTGCAAAATAAGATACGAGCAGGCTACAGCTACCTAAACAACGACGAATCATATACACTAAGCCCCACAAAACCCCAGCCGAATCATACAAATAATTCGATTAGGGGTGTACTAAGCAGAGACGGCCGCTAAATCAGCATCAACTTGAACCGCCCAAACTTACCACGAGATACAGCCGAGAAGACGCTACTGGACTTAACAAATCATAGTCGCATGCCACGAGCCCACGAGAGAAGCGATCTCACTTACCGGAGATGAGGTACCGCGGCGTCGGCTCGCTCTGTTCCGGGGTCGGGGTGGCGGTGCGGGGCGTGCTCGTAAACCCTAGTTTCTAGCAAGCGCTTCATGGGCTTAATTGAGCTGCACGGGTCGAAGCACCGGCCCAAAAGCAACCGGCGCCCCTCTCGTGCGCGCCTGTCTAGTGTAGTCACAGCACATGGCCCACACACACGTTTCTCAAAATAAAAAAAAAACATGGCCCACACGCGCCTGGTCTCGCACTCGCCGTTGCTGACGTGCCAGTTCCGCACATCGCCGTTCGCGCCTTCTTACGCTCTGTTGGCGTCGTCGGGCCGGGCGGGTGGTGGAGCAGGAGCACCAGGCGCGGACGGCGGAGTAGCGAGATGGGCGTGCGGAGCAGGAGCAAGAGCAGCGGGGCGGCGCGTGGAGCAGCGGCAGGAGCAGTGGGGCGGGCGACGGAGGAGGAGCAGGATCAGCATAGCGCGCGAGCGGCAGGAGCACACACGGAATGGGGCTGGCGGCGCAGGAGAAGCAAGAGCAGCGCGAGGCGGGTGGCAGGAGCAACGGAAGGGGATAAACGTGAGGTTTATTAGGCTGGCTAGTCTGTAGGCCTAAGCGCGCGGTGTCCGAACGGGATGGACACCCGCGTCCTATCATTTCCGTTAATCTAATGATAATTATTCAGCGTCATAAGTATTTATTTTTTGTATAATAAATAAATTTATTTAAATTTGAATTTGTCCGACTGCTGAAGCTGAACTCATTGATGCCGTGCATGTGGTCCTGCGGCCCTGCGCAACGGCACGCCCGCCTGCATAGCAACCGCCTCGCGGGACCAGACCCTCCTGTCTCCTGAAAATCATTCGTGCCGGACTGCTCGCGCCGCGGCCTACAGGCAGGCTACTGATGTCCCGCACGGACATATGCGGTGCGTGGCAATAGAGGAGCGGTCAGTCGCGGCCGGCCGAGCCGCCGTTCGTCGTGCTCGTGCGTTACGCGTCCTGCAGGTAGCCTTGGCCACGCTGACGCTGGCTGGATCAACGCGTAGCCTCGTGGCGGACGGTGACGAGTAAGGCTAGCCTAGCATGAACAAGCACGCGTTACTTTTTCTTTTCTGATTTTTTTTCCCAAAACAAGAGAGAACAAATCAGGCGTTAGTTCAGACTCAAAGGAATTCAACGAGCAGCTCGACAGCACAAAAGGGGTAGATTAAGGTTGCATTATTAGCTCGTATCGGTCGGTGCTTTACAGCAGCAGAGAGAGAGAGAGCGAAGGGAGCTGCTGCTTTGTTAACCTGCTTTAGTTTTACGCTTTGCCCCCTTTTATCTCTCGAAATAAAAGCGTCGCTTTTCTCTGCGAATGAGATGCAAATACGGCAAAGGCGATACGCACAGACGTGGCTTTCACTAAGGAAAAGAAGAAGAAGAAAAAAAAGCCGCAGCCTACCCACGGGAGAAGGGAAATCACGATGAAGCAACATTTTCTCATCATCATCAGATGAATTAAGTTCAATGTTCCTGCTTAAACAAACACCAGAATCTGGGCAACAACACAGTGTTCACTCTGAATCAATCAATGCCGCTACAGAAACGATCTGAATCTCTGAAACTGAACGAATACAATTCCACGCGTGGGGTGATACGAAGCACAGGTCAGGAACACACAAGCAAGCGGAAGATATCATGCGACGCAAGCTGACAGCACACGGCGGTTCTCGACCTCAGTGGCGCAGGTTGCCGAGGAGGAGCGCGACGGCCGGGCAGAGGACGGCGGCCACGAGCGACGAGGAGACGGCCGCGGCGCCGGAGGTGGGGCTCGGCGCGGGGGCGTCGGCGGCGAAGGCGACGCCGGCGAAGGAGGACACGGCGACGGCCGCGACGACGGCGGCGCGCAACATCTTGGAGGAGGCCATGGCGATGTGGAAGCGAACAGGGATTTGCCTGCGCTAGCTTTTGAGCTGAGCTCGTAGGGAAATTGCAGACGATTTGTGTGTGAGAGGTCGGAGGTGGTGAGAGCGCGTGTTTATAGGTGAGCGGAGGAGAAGGTTTGGTGGGCCCCACGTTTACAGTCTGGCCTATTTCCCATCAGCCAGCTCAGAATTAGTGGCAGCCCATAATTAGCTTAAAGTTAGGAGACTGCTGGTTTTCAGTCACATAATAAACCAAGCTACAATTAGCAGAGATTTCTACTAACATTCATAATTGAGATTTTGGAGACTTGCTTTTCAAAATTGGCAGCTAATGCAAGAAGGTGAAAGTGCAGGATGGTCTGGGCACCAGACAGCAGTACACCTCATCAGAGAATTTGATTAGTTCATGATAATATATGAATGTCCAGCAAAGCACAGATCAGCAGAGCTTTAGGTTGCAGTACAGTCTGGTTCGATGAAACCACTGCATGCATATCCGGCGCCCAAGGGGGATATTGCTGTAAGATTTTCCTTATTTGGTTCTTGGCAAATTTGTACAGAACTTCTTTGGAAAAGTTCAGTCTGCTCAATAATGAAAGAGTACAGAATAGAGACGGCAGGATGTCACAAAGACGGTCAAATTGAGCTACTAATAATAGTACAAACGAGGATGCCCTGTCACATACAGGTACATTTACTTACTTGAAGCCACAGGCACCATAATTACTGCAAATGTGGCGAAGCATGTACCTGAAGTTTCAGAAAACGACAGCTACCTCTTATCTGCTTCATTATTTTTTTCCAGCCATACTACTAATTCTACAAAGGTTAGCTGTGTGTATTATTGGCTTCTTTTGGACTTTATGCACGCTGTCAGCTAAGATTCTCCTGTCCTGTGTTGTTCAGTGGCAACCAACTCGTTCTCGGTAATGATTATTGGACACATCACAAATATTATGTTGTTGTGGACTGTGTGGTGCCATGGACATTTCACATTTCAATATTTCATACATGTAAGTTTGTCTGACCGGATCCAAAAGAATATTGCACAGTTTTTTTTTAAGGTCAAATATTGCGCAGTTTATCAGAAGCGCTCTGACAATTAATCCGCTCTGTTTGACTATGATAATTCAGGAAAAATAATAATCTCCAGCAAAAGTCTCCCAGGCAACCTGTTTGTATTTTCTCCTTCATTCAGTTCAGTGAGATAAAATGCACTATGTTGTGCTTAAAAAGAATACTGCAGCAAAAATAGGCAGAATGAGTTATTCTCCCTTACCAATAATGCTATCAGCTCAATGGCATCCTATTCTCCAGTTTCATGATTGTCCATCAGAGAACCCATACCTTTCATGTCTGTTCCTTACTGACACGGCATGGCTAGCTTGAGTATAATGTTTTGAGTCACCATCGTTTCTTATTTTTCGAGTCACCATCTGATGTACATAGAGGTACCAAAACCTCGTGAACTTGGAGTTCAAGGGAGCAGTGCAATCGTTAGATCTTCCTTTTTCTTGAAGGAAACTTCATAGACAGTTGCCAAATATATAGATAGATATTTTTCAGGGGCATGCTAAAATTGAACCGTAGATTATCCACAGTTTCAAGATTATTCTACGAGACTTCTCGTTGAAGAACAAAGTGCTCTTGTGCAATATGCTTATCGTTCTAGAAAGCAGTATACTCCCTAGCCCTTAGGGCATCAATTCTGATCCCCAGCTATCCCTCCCCACATCCTCCTGCAACTTTAAAAGAGCCACACCTTTTGTTTTGTTGTGCAATTTCTTCAGTAGCTCTCTGTCTATCTATAAGCACCCTTGCTCTTCAAGGAACTTTAGCTGCCTGCAAATCTTACCACTTGTGCAGCTTTGAAGACCCTTGGAAGGAAACATGGTACACACATGGACTTTACTAGTATTCTGTTCGTTTGCTTTTTCGTTCTTGCAGTTGGGAATCATCTGAATTTTCACTTCTTTCCTGCATACCTCCGTGTGCCTATGTTCAGACATAAACTGCCGAAACTTTATTTTTTCCCTTTGAAAGAGAGGAACTAACTAGGGCATGAGATGCGATTGCTGGCCTGAACATTTTATAGAAATTATGTTAAGGTCAAAGCATACGGGATCTGCGAAAAGGGAAATGTCCGAATTTAAACACTGCATAAATTTTCTTGGCAGCACCAACCTCAGAGGAAGATGGTGGTGTCGAAGAAGCTGATGAAGATCGGCCCATGGGGTGGCACCGGGGGACACCCGTGGGACGACGGCGGCCACTCCGGCATCCGCAGCATCACCATGTCCTACGACCGGTGCATGGAGTCCATCAGCGTGGAGTACGACAGGGACGGCTGGCCCGTCCCCGGTGAACGGCACGGAGGAGCCGCCGCCAGCCACACGACTCAGGCACGTACAACACCGTCAATCTGTCAGTCACAGTGACAGCGACACAGCTCAGCTGGGTTTCTGAAGTCTGAACCGTGCGCACACGTACGCAGATCAAGCTGGGCTACCCGGACGAGTACCTGACCACCGTGAGCGGGCACTACGCGCCGATCGCGCAGGGCGGCTCGCCGGTGATCCGCTCGCTGGCGTTCCGGACCAACCAGAGGGCGTACGGGCCGTTCGGCGCGGCGGAGGGCACGCCGTTCACGTTCCCGGTGGAGGGAGGCGTCATCGTCGGCTTCTGCGGGAGGAGCGGATGGCAGCTCGACGCCGTCGGCCTCTACGTCGCGCCGCTGCGCTCGGAGACCATGTCCGACAGGGTGCAGAAGATCGGCCTGATGGCTTACCGGGCGGTTTGGCAGCGGATCGGATCCCAGCAGCAGCATGAGCCGGTGAAGCAGTTGAACGGCATCGCGCAGCTTACTCACAAGACATAACCACTTGCCACAGGATGCCAATCAAAGCCTATTTCTGAATCTATGCAGTCTGAATGTATATGTATATCCAGCTAGCATATGAATCTAGTGTGCTGAACGCCTGAACCTGAAGTGCTTGATAGTTGATAAGAACACTTTCTCAACTAGCATATATGAATCTAGTGTGCTGAACCTGAAGTGCTTGATAGTTGATATGAACACTTTCTCAACTAGCTAAACATGCAGCTAACTGTTCTGTGGCGGAAGGCCCGTCAGGATCAACGACCTTGACACTACCGCCGGCAAAACCTAGGCTACGCCTACGCTGCGGGCGACGTCTAACAGCTCGGCAGACAATGGTTGGCCCTAACAAATCATTTCCAAGCAAACTCCGGTTATCGCTTCTTCGACGATGCTTTGTTTGGCGTCCAAGCCATCGGTTCTCCCCTAGGTCGACAAAGCGACTTGGCAAGCCCTGCTGCGCCAAACAAAGGTGTTTAGGACTCCTTCGCTCCAGTTTTTGCAGCTCTACTTCAGCTCTGCGTTGCCAAACACCTTCGCTAAAGTCTACATAGTAGATACACATTTGGGCAGTACACCACTCGGCGAAGCAAATGGAGGACAGTCAAATGGAGAAAGCTACAATAGGATAGACAAACATAACAAGCATCAGACTATCCTCTTACAGAACCCAAACCAAAAAAACGATAAGAGGGGGTAGTCACGAGCATAAAGTTTGCAAACAAAGCAGAAATCAAGCGGCAAGCAATTTTTGTCATGGAATGACACACAGCAACTAAGCGGTAATCATCAAGAGCCAAGCAATTTTTGTTATGGAATGACACACAGCAGCAACTTAACATGGTTTGCTCTAGTTCTAACAAGTCTCACTTCAAGTCTCAAAACTGTTGGAACATAGATAAATATAAGCTGGGACTATGAGCATCAACAGGCCCCTTGATAGAACAGAAGCTTAGTGCTTGGGCTGCCTGTTCTTCTTCTTGACACCAGACTTGGCAACCTGGAGGCTGCGGTACACTGAGCTCAGCCTAGCAAGAGCCGGCTTGGTCAGATCAGGCCTGTAGTAGTTGTCGCTAACCTGCGTGGCAAACCAAATGCAAATTAGAATATTCAGCAATTATAAGGTACCAGCAAGTTCAAACAGAATTGGCAATTCTAGCATGAAGAAACTGAAGCACCAAGTATTATTAGAGTAACTTATATAAAGGAAAAACAGGACGTCAATCATACAAGACTTAGGTAACCTGCAAGATCAGCTCAGAAGCCAAGCGTATCAGCTTATATTTCATCGAAGAACCAATTGATCGGTTGGTTTTCTCACAAGTTATGGCTCATCACAGCTAAACCTTGGACCAGCGATGGAACCCAAACATATAAAAGAGGAGAATCTATCTAACAAGAAAGACCCACATAGCACCATACAACCAACAGAAAAAAACAACTATCTTACAAACGAACAAATAATGTTAAAAACAGGGATAAATAAACAGGAATATGAAACCAATATCCAGTATGCAGCTCAGAAGCCAAGCGTATCAGCTTATATTTCATTGAAGAACCAGTTGATCAGTTGGTCCTCTTACTTGTTATGGCTCATCACAGCAACAAATTAACATGAATTAAGTGCGAAAAAATATCTAATAAAGCAAAGAGCTATGTGTTGCCATTTATAGCATGACAAACACTGCCATATCACCATAGAGACAAGCATAATGCATTTCCATGTGCTAGTACCTGGTTTTTCACAGCCTTGGCCATCTTGCGGAAGTCCTTGCGCATCACAGACTTGTGGCTGAGCTTCGCAGGTGTGCTCTGCTTCTTGGTCTTGGTAGTAGAGAGGACCACAGCCGAGTCCTTTCCAGCAGCTGGCTGGATCGTCACGGTCTTCTTGTTGGCCAAGCCTAACAGAACAAAACAGCCAAAGCAGTCAGCACTAAGTGATTCATTATTTTTATTACTAAGATCACATAAGGTGTTATGCATGCAGGACAAGCATACCAGAGTGCTTGTAGGAGTGGACGTTGTAGAGGTTGTTGGGCTCCTTGGTGAACTGCACCTTGGCATTGCCATTGCCAAACTGCTTCACAAGGAAGGAGTTGTTCTTCCTCACAACCTGCCAGATCAAATCCCCTGGAACGGTCGCCATTTCCCTTCGCCTAAATAATCAATATAAACTGCCAAATGTGAGATTCCCTAGCAACATTACACAAGGAGAAAAATAATCTGATCGTCATCTGACCATCTACAAAAGACTTAGGATTGCAAGAGGACGGTGGAAAACTTACAATTTGCAGAGGAAGCTATAGGCAATTTTTAGCTAGAGCTGAACATTTGACTCGGTATTTCTAAGACGGATAGCCCGATGCACTATGTCTCTACCAGATCTAACTGAGCGAAGTATAATCAGAGTGCAAAATAAGATACGAGCAGGCTACATCTACCTAAACAACGACGAATCATATACACTGAGCCCCACAAAACCCCAGCAGAATCATACAAATAATTCGATTAGGGGTGTACTAAGCACAGAGACGGCCGCTAAATCAGCATCAACTTGAACCGCCCAAACTTTACCACGAGATACAGCCGAGAAGACGCTACTGGACTTAACAAACCATAGTCGCATGCCACGAGCCCACGAGAGAGGCGATCTCACTTACCGGAGATGAGGTACCGCGGCGTCGCCTCGCTCTGTTCCGGGGTCGGGGTGGCGGCTGCGGGAGGCCAAGCGGCTCGGAGCCTCGCCTGTTTTATACCGGGGGCGTGCTCGTAAACCCTAGTTTCTAGCAAGCGCTTCATGGGCTTAATTGGGCTGCACGGGTCGAAGCACCGGCCCAAAAGTAACCGGCTCCCCTCTCGTGCGCGCCTGTCTAGTGTAGTCACAGCACATGGCCCACACACACGTTCTCAAAAGAAAAGAAAAACATGGCCCACACGCGCCGGGTCTCGCACTCGCCGTTGCTGACGTGCCAGTTCCGCACATCGCCATTCGTGCCTTCTTCTACAGCACCAGTACCGCGCGGCATGGTGAAATGGGCTCAGGATTGCCGACGACTCGCCGAGGTCGGAGACGTCAGGTGGGACGCGCTAGCACCATGGAGCCAGAAGCGTGGTCAACGTGACACGGCGTAGACAAGACTACAAGCGCAAGCGCCAGGTCCAGCAGCTCATCACGGAGAACAGGCAGTGCGTGCTGCCGCGACAGCGCTTCTGGTTCTGCTTCGGCTCGACCGAGAAATATGGCAACGACGAACTCAAAATCACACACACAGTTCAAAAGGTATTGATGACATTCTATCAACCTTTGTTTTAGGGAAAAAAAAATCCAAAACTGTCACATTGCAGTATATGTGATTCAGGTACAATGATTATTCCGTGGACACCATCTAGAGTTGAAAACCATGACTCTAGGAGATCCGTCCACTCTGGTCGCCAGAAAACATGGGGGAAGAAATGTGGGACAACATTGACATGAGAAAACAATGCAAGCTCACTACTTTTTCTTGCCGGTGACACCTGCAACCACCTGCACAAGTAACAGAAGATTAAACCTTGTCTCGACCATTTTCAATCACAGGATAACAGCATCTAACCGCCTGAGGGGAGTACTTTGGCTTCATTGTTCAAACGAAGGAGATCAACATAATGGCAGGTTAACTATGGCAAGTCCTCAAGTCGACAACACAAGGATGCAATTATGCAACACAAAGTAACAACAAATGCCCTTGGCAATTTACTCTGAGCTACCGGTAACACATTTAGAGCTCATTTATGGGACTTTTTCAGACAGGTTAGCTTGAAGTGCCCAAATTGATTGTCATTGAAGATGAATACTAGTAAATTTTATTTGCTAAGGAAATGAACATTCTGAATTGGGAAATGATGAGAAATTGAATGGAAGCAAAAGCAATGTTTATAATTTATATGATCTTGAAAATAGCATAGCACACATGAAACCAAAGGAGGAAATCACATACATCATTTAGAGGCGGTGGAGGAACTTTTTCCGCGGTCTCCCATGAATCCAGGATTGGCCGCACAACTGCTGGAAGAAAGAGACCTGAAATTGCACATTATAAGGTTAGTTGAAATATTTTGGCAGAACGAAAACCAATAGCAGGTTGCTAACTTTTCCCCAAAAGATAATTCCAAAGGTTCAGGCAGGCAAGTCAGAAAACTTAGGAACCAAGTTTGTTTGTGTGTTCATAGAATCAATAAAAATTGATCGTTTCTTTCTGAACTGTCAACACCACTCCCTATCCGTTTGTCCCCTACTAATCGCTGAAAAGTGTCAAATTGCACAAGAACATTTTGGGTCATGAGTCATGACCATAGCAGTCCACTACTTAAATTGCGATGTTCTATGCTTGATATTTAAAATGGGGTTCATAGAGTGTGCATTCGATTTCATCACTTTTAGGCTGACCCTTTCCAGGTAGAAACCATGTGAGAAGAATTGAGTGCCTAGTGCTAATGGTGCCCCATAAATTTGAACAACAGTGGTTGCCAGCAAAAATTTATTTGCCACACAAAATTGTCGACCTGAGATGCACTCTGTCACGTGACCAGCATGTTTAGGGTAGGACAAATGCTATACTTAATCAAACTTCATATCAAGGGATTGTTAAGAATAAACTCAGGCATGGTATTACGAATATACAATGATATAAAAAGTTTAGATTCAACTAATGCACACAGACATTTCTAGCCTACAACACCAAAATTTTCTCTTAATCATGGACAATTTTAGGTGCAATCAGGATTCTCAGAAATAAACATAATTACCCAATCGGACAACAAGTTAAAAGTAAACTTGACGGAGCTATTCCTTGTACTATCCAAGTGAATGGATCCACAAAGCAGAGTTCATATATCATGTGGCCTTAACACTTTTTTTGGTATGCAATGGCCAATTTCTACAAACTATATTGACTTTCAATGTCAATTTGCTATTGGTAGAGACCTCTTCGCTGGCAATCAAATCTTTTCAAATGCCATTCAAGTTCATAACACATACCCTAATGCGGTCTACCTCTACAGACTACAAGTAAAACAAGCATTCACTTTTTAAGATAATTTTGGAGGAATATGAGAAACTTAGGATAACCATATTGGAGGGAGAAAATAAGACCTCTTACGGCGCTCATCTGTGCCAACAAATTACAGTGGCCTTCACACAGAACATTTTCAGGCAAACCAGAAGTGGACATTTAAAAAGTGAAGATAAAGGACAAAGGTAGTCACATTGAGCTGAAAGCGATCTGGCATTGTAAGTCATTTTAGTTTTGTCCTAAGTCAAACTTCTCTAGCTTCGACTAAGTCTACAGAAAAATGCACAAATATTTACAAGATCAAATTAATTCATTAGATACACAATGAAATATATTTTGATAGTGAATTTATTTGACATTGTAGCTGTAGATGTTAATATATTTTCCAATAAACTTGGTCAAAGTTAGACAAATCTAAATCGATTTACAAATTGGAATGGCCGAAGTACTAGTTAACACTGCAGTCAACTATCTTGGGTGGGAAATGGAACAGCTGAATCTTTGTATTGAGCAGGGAAATGTATAGCTTGTCAGTTACGAAATAGATGGATCATTTGTCAATGGCCATAGGAGCAGAGCTACTGAAAAGTTGAATTTGTATCAGTGCCTGAGATTTAGAATACTGGATCTAACGAATAGTAGCAATAGCAAGTGAGATTTGAGAAGGCCACCCAAATGGAAACCCCAGCCTACAATTCCCTAGAAAAACCCTGCGTTCCCAGACCTAGTCTTACAGAGTCAACCAGAACTAAGCGCACACCGAAAGCAAGGGACCCTGCGCCCAAGGGCGTGCGCGCATCTAGTAGGGTTTGCAGAGGGGAAGCGAGGGCGCGTACCGAATCCGGCGATGAGGCAGGACGCCGCGACGACAGGCTCCTTCACGACGAAGATCTTGAGCTTCTCCATCACGGCCATGGCTGCCGCTTCTGCTTGCAGTCCTCCGCTTCGCCTTCGCGTACCTCGCCCGCCGCCGTCGCTGGAGACGAGACGCGAGACAAGTCAGTGCTCTCTCCTCCGATCTGTGGACGTGGGCCCGTCGTGTCTTGTGCCGAGAGACTTCCACGCTCAGCCCGTTTACGACCGTGGACCAGTGGGCCACGATCCATTTTGTTGTTGGGCTGAGGCCCGTACCGATTGGCCGTAGCCCGTAGCGGAGGAAACGAAAGGCTCACGGCATATTCAGAGTTGCCGGTTGGAATATTCGTCTCGCGCGCGCGAATATTTTGCCCGGACGAGCGAATCTACCGTCCCTGCGCCGCTTTCTCGCGCTCGCCTTGCCTTGGACCGCACGCACGGCCCACCCTTCTCCTCTCCTCTCTTCTTCAGCTGCCTATTCTCTTGCTCGGCGCGCGTAGGAGAGGCACTTCTTCCTCCTCGCCGTCTTCCTCTCCATGTCGGCATGTGTCTTGCTCGACACCGTACCGTGCGTGGGTCGTCGCCGGACGACGGGCACCAGCAGGCGGCCGGCAGCGCAGCCGTCAACCATGATGTTACCAAAGGTTAGTACCCCCGCACTACTGTCTCGTGCCTGGAGCATCAATTCATCATGGTGTTCGTGTTCGTGCTTATTTGGTCCTCTGATGAAATCCTCTCGTTAGATAGGTCTGCAGCACACCATGATATGATGCAATCGTTCGCCAAACAAAAATGATGCAGCCAATTACTGAATTATTACGCGTGGTTTTACCATTGTTTTTTTCGCCTGGTTATGTTTGTCGCCTGACGCCAAAACATCTAAGCTGCCTTTTAATTTGCCGGTTGCGGACTCTGATTCAGAATTCAGAGTCGGACAAACCTTGGCAAATAGTAAAATGGAAGCCGCAGGGGCAGCAGCTCGACAACTCATCAGCATAAGCGTGCACACGACCACCTTCCTTGCCCGCAGGGGCAGCAGATCGACAACTCATCAGCATAAGCGTGCTCACGACCACCTTCCTTGCACGGGAGGCCGCCGTCTCTTATTAACCAGGTCGAGCATGGAAACACATAGCGGTTCATGCAGATGAGATGAGACACATAAGAGAGACCTGAATGAAATAACAACACGACAAGGAAGACGGCCGGGCCGGGTGGCGGCCTCTATTAGGAAGCTCAATTTGGACATTGAGATAATCCTCAACCCGAACCACGTACGTGAGCACTGAGCCATCAGATAAAGTACATCAGACGTGGCACCGGATGGTCCGCGGGGTAGCAGAGATAACTGATAAGGCACGACATTCCAGGGGTTTCTCCGGCGTGGTTCTCCAGCGAACTGAAGCTAACGTGTCCTCGAGAAAGGCTCAAGGCCTTGTCGCCGGACAGACAGACTGTGCCGAGCAGGACAAAGGTTCGTGTTTTCGCCGCTGGAAGACAGAAGAGGCAAATGGTGTCGTCATCATCAACGCCGGCGCACTGACTGGCCCCTGGTATCGCTTCACAGCGGTCCGTCTGGGTCCTGGATATCCTGGGTGTTATACGTTGTGGAAGTCAGTTCTGTGGCTGCTATTCTCGGTCTCTTTTCAGTTTTACGCTATTGGAGTATTTGCGAAAATGTATTGCAGCATCTGCACGCTCGTTCTCTTTTCAGTTTTACGCTATTAGAGTATTTGCGAAAATGTATTGCAGCATCTGCACGCTCGCATTGATCTTTTTGTATGCCTTGCAGGAAAGAAGATGTCCACAGACACCGTACCACACGGAAATAAGCAACAAAGAATCGATTTGAAATCTCGGTATGATACAGGAGCATGGTGGGCAGCACCAGGCACCGGCGCAGCAAGTGGCCGTGAAATAGGAGCAGCAAGTTACAGGTACTCTTACAGGTACATACACCAACCGTGCCCTTAGACACTTCTGTCCAGGCGCACACTGTTTTCTCAATGTTCTTGTGTCGTATTATTCTGCTACAAGGAGCAGGCCTTTCTTCACATGTATTTGGAGATGCTACTCTAAAATCATCATCTCCAGGTACCGGGGAGAAGTGAAAGTATCATCTCTACTCTCACAAGGTCTCAAGGATAATTTACATGTCTTTGGTTCTACAGAATCAGAGAGGAAGTTCAGTTGCAAAGCCACGGAGTAGAGAACTTATGTACTGCAGGGGAGCAAAATGGATATCCTTTTACCTTATGATGACTCAATTGCTGCAACCCTTACTGGCTTCATTACCCTTACAATGTTCCTCATGTGCTCAAACCCCATGACTATCACTCCTATGAGATAAAGAAAGCTTAGTTGCAGCTTGCCAAGCAAGTTATAGACTGCTACGGCGGCATTTGCACCTTCATCTGTTCGCATCGTGACGGTAATGGGTCTCGCAGAAATGAGTGCCCCGGTTTCTGATGAGGATGCAGCATAAGAGATTTGCTCCGGAACAATTAGCCTTGAAGAGAAATCGGAGGCGTTTGGTCTTCTTAAGCTTACCTGATGTGTTCTCAGGCTGGGCTGACCACTCTTCAGGTTTCATCGCAGATTTGGTGGCCTTTATCAAATCCATAAGTGCATTGTTCACCTGAAATTCATAGAAGGTTACATGAGTTCCTACTGTGCTTTTCATGTACTCAATCCATCCCAAATTGTAAGACGTTTGACTTTTTTGACACCAAGTTTGACCACTCGTCTTATTCAAAAATTTGTGTAAAATATCACTTCTTTCGTCGTGGTTTGGTTTATTAATAAAAATTCTTCAAGAATGACTTTAATTTGACTATATTTGCACAAATTTTTTGAATAAGACGAGTGGTCAAACTTTGGGCCAAAAAAGTCAAACGTCTTACAATTTGGGATGGAGGGTAGACTGTGAACAAGCAAGAAAAGGAAACATCAGAAAGCTTCGATGAGATGAAATTAAAAAAAAAGAGCCATGGAGAAGATAACCATGCCAATAGCACGGCACCCTGGTTGGTTTGCTCTCAACTTATCTCCCTATAAAGATATAATATGCTCGGTCAATTGTTTCAGTGTTTCTTAAAGTCCTTGTAGTGTGTTTTATCTAAAAGTCCTTGTAGTGTGTTTATTACTGTCCAAATATTCTCCTAATTATCCATAACTTGAGTATGTGAAGGCATACATATTTATGGTGTTTAAAACAAACAGGTAAGTGAGGTGCTTGTTATATTGATGAAGCATACATATTTAATAGTTGATTGATATGATAAAGCAGTTGAACCCAGACTTGGCGAAGTCTACATATTCACTACAAATAATTCAGTTTGCAACTCCACTGCACTGCTTGGAAAATTCCTAGAAGCAAATGTCATGGTTGCTTGGTTAGTACAAAGTATTATGCTGAGTTCATGCAAAGCCATATGCTTCAATACTTCAGACAACTTGATTTCAAATACGACTTTTCGTACTCTATTGGATCCTATAATTCTGTTTCTCTGCTAGACATAGTAATGGAGAACAGTTATCTTCAAAAGTATTGTATTATGTTGCACATTTGGATGGGATGAATGATGCTTTCAGAAAACTGCAATGTCTGATGTCATCTTAGTTCACTCAGGAAAAAAATATATGAAGTGCAACAGATTTTTCTCACTCAATCCTACTGCCTAGTTTGGTAGACAAAAGTTGAGTATTAGAAAGCTCAAATTTCTCAAGAACCTTGAAGACAGCCACAGCTTTTGATGTTATCTTTGTTGGCCAGGAATTGTGGGATTTTCCACCACTATGCAGCAGTTTAAGAAATCAATCAAATCAATGTCCTTCCTAGTATGTCAGTGGCACATTTTGCTGTTTTATCAGAGTCCCGCACTTTACCTCGTCTAGTCTTGTCTTTTATGGTTCTCTAGATGTGCAAAATGCTTGAGCATGTGATAAGCCAGTAAGCCACATACCTAGATACTTGAGGCAACGCGATTTCATTATAACTTTAGACAACCTACTGGATCCTATAATTCCGTTTTTTCATGCTAAACCTAGTAATGGAGAACAGCTGCCTTCAAAAGTAACATGTATTCTGTTCTGCTTTTCCATGCTAAACCGAGTAATAGAGAACAGCTGCCTTCAAAAGTAACATGTATTCTGTTCTGCTTTTCCGTGCTAAACCTAGTAACAGAGAACTGCTGCCTTCAGAAGTAACATGTATTCTGTTGCACGTTTAGGTGCCGAATGATGTTTCAGATAACTGAGATGTCTGGCGTCATCATAGTTCACTCAGCAACTCTGGTATTCTGTTGCACGTTTAGGTTTAGGCCATGAATGATGCTTTCAGCTAATTGAGATGCCTGGTGTCATCTTAGTTCTCTCAGCAACTCTGGAATATATGCACAAGTTGCAACAGAAATTTCTCATTCAGTGTTCCTTCCTAGATTGGTGAGACAAAAGTTTAGTGTTAACTAGCTCAATTTTGAGAAACTTGCAGAGAGCCACAGTTTTTTATGTTACCTTCATTGGTCAGCAATTTTGGGGGGTTTCCGTTAAAGCATATAAGCAAAACAATCAATCACATCAACGTCCTCAATATTTCAGTAGCACATGTTGCTGTTTTATGAGAGTTCGAAGTTTACCTCGTCTGGTCTTTCATGGCTCACTAGATGTGCACCATGAAGTTCTACCATTCTTGCAACAGGAAGAAGCCTTTCTGCTAGACGTTTTGCATGGCACAATTGAGCAATGATATCATACCTGAATTTTTGTAATGTAAGCTACATGAAATGGATGTGCACTATTCTCTGACAAGAATATCCATTGTTAACAAAACTAACCTTCCATGAATAACTGAAACTAGAAAACCGGCAGATCGTATTGTATCTAGTTCCTTAGTAGTCATTTTGTGAATCCAGCATGCATTAACTTGCCCTTCAAAACCACAATTAGATTGCATCCCTGTTGACGATATGCCCTTCACATATTCCTGAAAGTAAACACGGTACAGATGAACCTTCCATGAGTAGGTTGACGCATATATGTTGTCTTCATTTTAGTGTATACCTACTAATATGTTTATATTGTAAAGATAAAGAGGGGTATGGAAAACACAAAACCATAAATTCACAACAAAAGACCTGTTCAGGAAGAATCACAACAAAAGATGACCAAGTCAAAATCACATAATCCAGGGGTATGGGGCAAATACAAATATGTTTGTATTCTAAAAGGGTATGCACAACATAGAAACAAATTCACAACAAAAATGGTATGGGACAGCTGAAAATAATGCCAGGCAAGTTTTCAATGTGTAAAAACAACAAACGTCATCCGGAATACCCAAATCAATGTTTCATGAGAGAACATGACATATCCCATATGACAATCTAGAAGATACATCGTCGTCAGCAGACTGTTACAAAGCAACATCAGAAATGTGATATCACTCACTTGATAGAGGACCATTCTTCTGGTACACGACCCAACAGTCTCCTCAAGATATTCCTGCATAGTTGCATTGTTAAATCAAACATATCAACACTGATGCAGTGAATCTGAAAAAATAAACACTAATTTTTCATCAAACAGGGAATGATAATGGATGCATTATTAGTTCCTTACCTTAGTATAATGTGTTTCCAAGTCCACAAGAGCTCTTTCCTCTGGAGTTTTTGCCCTTAAGAAACGGAATGCAAGAGATAGCATCTGCCCATCTACCTACAGAAGCAGGGACAAAAACTTAACTCAGTGCCACGAGTAGTTGAAAATTATAATTAGTGCCTCGTGTAGCATTTCCTTTGCATTTCACAACATGAGCGCATTCAGTTCTACAAGTGTGTATGTGAAAATCAAAATTCCAGTACCTTTGGGAAACACTGAAAGCCACCTCCAGTGACATTAAGCAATGCCAGCGAACATAGCCTGTGAGGCGCCATCGCCGCTAGCTTGCAAGCAATCATGGCACCTGATTGCACAGAGATAATAGGGTCAATGCCCAAAGCTCACGCATTTGAAAAACAGGGTCCCAAAATTGAGAGACGCACAAAAACAGGACTTACCCATGGAGTGGCCAAAGACGTGAGCTTTCTTCCACCCCAAATGATCCATCAAGGCCAAGGCATCCATCGCCATGATTGCCGTCCTGCCAGATATGAGAGAACACGTTTGAGATCAAATACTCATTAGACCCACCGCCCATTTTGACTTTTCCTACACATGACCGCGTGAACGTGATGGAAGATATGATTCCCCCCATCTTTCTTCCCCATCACTCATTTCCTCGTGAAAACTACTGTGCCAGGACGCGAGTGAAATGTGGAATTTTTCTCGTCGAAAGCTACATGCAGCTGCTCTCGTCCACCAGATCCCCATGTACGATCCTTCTGGATCACAAGGGGAGGAAGCAATCCTGTGGTATCTACCGAACGGTACGGCCCACCGATCGTTCCAACCATTGGAACCGAAGACGGGGAGGGAGCCAGGGAGGATTTGGGAATAATTAACTTTTTACCAGACTTACGGGCTGAGTGCTATATAAAATACCATCTGTGACACATGTTACGGTGTCATCCCTGATAATGGTAAAAATTACCGAGGATTTGGATCTGTTGGAGGGGATACTCACGAGTAGAAGGATTTGTTGGGGAGCACGGAGCTGCGGCCGACGCCGCGGTTGTCGAAGCAGCAGACCTCGATGCCATCGCCGCCGCCGCCGGCCTCGTCCGCTTCCGCGGGCGCGGCCTCCGCCGCGCCGGCGGCGCAGACGCCGGCCTCCTCGTCCGGCCGCACAGCCTCGTCGTCGGCGGGCTCCAGCGACCCGGTCAGCCCCTTTATCTGCGGGCCCCACGAGTCGTGCGTCCCCGCCAATCCTGTGATTCCGACCCAAACCAAACACACAAACCGTTTCCCATCTCAGCGAAAAAGCGGAAAGAGGAAACCAAAAAGTAATCTTTTCTACTGCTATACTACACGAGAAAAAGGAACAGGATTCCTCTTTCTCCTCTCGATCGAGGCCCGGGAGAGATCGGCGTGCGTGCGTACCGATGATGAGGAGCACCTTGGTGGCGCCGCGGCCGTAGCGGCGGTAGAAGAGGCGGACGCCCTCCCACTTGTCGCCGTCCGCGTACCTGCCCACCTCGCAGTAAGGCATTGCTGCTCGCCGGCGACTCTCCTCCTGATTCAGCTAGCGCGGCAGCGTGCGTCTCGTTCTCGTTACCGCCGCCGCCGCGCGCGGTTGGTTTTTGGCTTGGGAAAATTGGTTGCCTAACGTCCAAAGACGGCGATCTCCGCGAATCACCACCGAAGCTTTGGCGCTTAGCATTATGTTAAAATAAAGTCACGGGCTCCGTCGCGCACGTGTTATCACGGATGCTAGCCGCGACCCCACCACCACGTGCAACGTCCGTAGGTTGTGCTCACGTCCTTGCCAGACAGGATTATAAGAGCACGCGCTAGGTTGTGAGCTCGTAGAACCGCTGCACCAGTAGTAGCACCTTCTAGCGGCTAGAAGCACACGTTCTTGCTGAGTTGAAGAAGCACACATACAGCAACGGGTTCCGGCTGCTAGAAGCAGCGCATTGCCTTCGCCACCGCCGGACTATGGCCTTGTCGGCGGCTTGGACAAATCGACGAGACGCCGAGGATGACACAGCTGTCGATGGTGGAGCCGAAGTCGGCCTTCCACTTTAGGAGCACGCCATCGTCAGTGCTAGCTCGATGTGGAGGCGCCGCAGCTGAGCGGAGCACCTCGGAGCGCGAGTGGTGGGCTGGTGGGAGACGTCCGCGATGGGCACGAACAGTGGCTCGGAGTGCCAGGAGACGCGCGCGGAGGACAGGATCTGGCCGAGAAACGCGTGGCGATCTGCGTGCGACCGAGACGCGCGCGCGATGTGCCGAACGCACTGGTGTGGCGGGGGAGCCCGTAGATATTCCAGCGATGCGGAGGAGGAGGCGGGGGTCATCGGGAAGACGCGGTGCGGGCGCGCAACAAAAAGACAGAGTCGACAAGCAAAGACGAAAGGCGCGGAAGCGAAGCGCGCGAGACAGCGCGCGTAATGCGCCGAGCGCCTTTGATGTTGCCGCTGGCGGTTGAGGACATCTCACGGGTGTTTATGCGGCCCTCCTCCTCCTCCTCCTCATTCCACGCAGACAGGCACAGCAGGAAACACACAGGGATCGGGATCGGGAGAAGGCGTCGGCTGGGCAAGCAAGACCGGCGGGGAGAGCGGCAAGCGATATGTGCTCAAGCATGGCATGGGCGTGGCGTGGTGTCGGCGGCCGCCATGCGAGGAGCCGCCTATTTGCGGCGAGCGTCTATGAGAACCATCCGTAAGGACGTGACGGTGTAATAGAGGCTACTTTTAGTTCCGTCACTTCTGTCACTTTATTTTAACGAAATGCTATTTTCTGTTCACGGTTCAATCTTTTGGTGGTATTTTATAAAGATGTAAACTTTCGATGGTATTTTACGGATACCGTGATCGTTCGATGCTAAAAAAATCCCTTTTGGCCTAGACCGTTTCGAGGGGATCGGTCCGGGGGAATGGGCGAGGCGTCGTTACCTGGAAGGCAGCTGGAAACGAGAAAATGCGCAGAGGAAAAACGAGGGGAGCGGAGCTGCGGAGGAAGGGAGACGGTTATTTATAGCCGTCGGACTCAGAATGGGCGCCGCGGCGCGAGTGAAAGGAAGAAGAGATGGCGCGGGCGAGAGGGTCCGATCCGTTCCGGAGCCGGGAACACGTGGACGGATGGCGCGGGCAGATATGAGCGGGACAGAGACACATTGGCGCGTCGCCGTCGGCTGAGTCAAACCGGCCGTGCCGCGAGGATAAATAAACTATGATGCTGAGGTCCATGTTTTTTGGGGGGCAATGGCCCTGTTCGGCCTACCCATATTTCGCTTGTTTGAAGGCTTTCTTTTTCATCGAATGATATTTTCTCTCACAACAATTCAACCGAACAGTGTTTTTTTCGGATTTTCGGTCAAGTTTTTATTCCGCATCTGAGAACGAGACCTTCATTTCGTTTGTTCGCCGCCGGCTTTTTGGTGCTTGCCGAGTTGGACTGGGGTCTTGTTTCCTCTCCTAAAATTTACTCCATATTTCATCGAATAATGGGACACATGCATGGAGTATTAAATATATATACTAAAAAATGACTAATTGCACAGTTTGCGAGACGAATCTTTTAAGCCTAATCAGTTCATGATTTGACAATGTGATGTTACAATAATACATGTGCTAATGACGGATTAATTAGGCTTAATAAATTCGTCTTGCGGATTACTGACAGATTCTATAATTTATTTTTTTATTAGTATCCTAATACGCCATACGATATCTTCGTATGACACCTGATATGACATCTCAAAACTTTGCTGGATCTAAGAGGCCTGCATAATGAAGCGAGAGCGATTGGAACGCGGTATTGTATTGTGCTTTTGCAGTCACAAGCCGATCGTGCTGTGACTGAACGACCGGTGAGTGACGCTGAGTCCCCGTTATCCTGGAACAGAGGGAACCGGTTACATTGGACGGCCAGCTTTCACAGCGATCGGGAGCAGATCATGCAGGGGTTCTGTCTGCATCAGAGCAATTCGTTCATTCATCCGGAATAAGTTTTTTTCCGAGAAGTGGGCAAAAGCAAACTTCTGAAAGAAATGCAGACGGAAGTTCTGAAAGAAAGCAAGCTGAGGTTTTGATTGCTCAACGATAGCAGCTTGAAGCAGCCCCGGGAGCTGTTGTCTGTTGAGTGCCGATCAGCCGCACGCCGCACGCGGTACGTAATATTCTTGTGATGCGCGTGCGTGCGTGGGCGCATGGCCGCAGACGCACAGTGCGCGCTGACGCGGCTGTCCGATCGGGTGGGAGGAGACGCGGGCGTCGCCGCCCCGGGGCCCCGCGCACCGTCCCTGTCGTCCGCTACGGCCGCACCTGGGTCCCGGCGCGGCCGCTCGGTACCGGCCCGCCCCCGCGCTCGTTGGTGGTGCTGTTGTTGGTGGCTGCTTCCGCTTGGCACCGGCACGGGTGCGCGCCGGGCGGTGATCCATCAGACGACCATCGCTGCGTCAGGCTCAGCCTGACGCGAACCACCGGCCGGCCATGACGGATACCTTTCGCTCCGCTCTGTTTCTTCTTTGGAGTAACCTTTCTGTGCGCGCCGTCGTGCTTTTCGTGTCGAGCGTCTCGGTCGGCGTCAGAGATCACCCAAAACACCCACCGAATCGTGGGAATCCTCTTTCAGGCCTTCTGCCTGCAGCTGCAGGGGATCGTGACCGAGAAGGAAGGCATCCAGTTGTCATCCATTCAGGTGTGTGTATTACTGTAGACGGGCTATAGTCTAGAGTGCCTGGAATTATTTCTTCTTTTGGAGTGATGGATCGGACATGTCAAAAATGACGTGCGGTGGAGGCGGCTTGGAGTCAAGGATTTTCTACCAGGTTTCGACCGAGTCCTTTCGCGCGTTTAGAAGTAGGCCCGGTCGCCGCGCAACCCCGGGCCCATTGTGTCGATGACGCTATTAACGAGTATAACCTGGTGTTGTTAGATCACCTCCAAACTCTCGACTCTGAATCATGAGATCTTGCCAGCTCCTACACCATGCATCTTAAACGGAAGCGTAATCCAAATTAGCACGATCAGAATGCCCGAGCATATCCGGACCGGGCGCAGAAATGGCCAAATGGGGAAACTCGCGATCCACGAGATCCTGCATCGTGTGTTGTCGCAGGTCACACAGCTCACGGCAGCAGAGCGTACGTTTCCTGCGCCGACGACCAAAACAAACTAGAGATCCAATCGGGAGACGTCTCCGGGAAGGGAAAACGGTCGACCAGACGCGCATGCACAGCTTGAATTTGCTACGATCAACACCGGCCTCCATCCAGATCCCTTCCAGCGATTTTCTTCGGTTTCCAGAGAGCCCGACACGGACGTGGCCTGCGCACAGCCTCCTGTGCCGTTGCTGTTCCATGATGGAGGTCGCGTCTAGGAGCCACGTCCATCGGCTCACGACGAGGTTCGTAGCGACGGGCCGTCTCGTACGTCTAGGTCCTGTTTGTTGGATTTTCGCTGACCATGCAGTGTGGTACACGAGCTGTGGTATGTACAATTAGACTACACGTTCAATGTCGTGGTAGATGGGTGTTGTGCATCGTGAGAACCGTGAACGTTGTAGGACATTTTGTGGTATTTTCAACCATTTTTCGTGGTCAACCATCAGAAATCTGATTTTAAACATATCCAAACATGGTCATAAACATTGCCTCTGGGTGCATGTGGAGTGCTATGAATCGACTCTGCATCTCGATATTTATGTCCTTATGGATGCATTGATCATGACTAACCTCAACAGACTCTCGTCCAAAAATGAACATACAGTGTGTTCATAAAAAAGATCATTGGGATTCGTAACCTGACTCGATCCTTGAGTGGCATAGGAACGGCATCTCCTCCAACAAAGACGCTCGACTTTCTTATGCATGCTGCATTCACCTCCCTCTCAAAATATGCCCACACAATACGTAGTTTCCGTGGAACTTCTCCAACACTTGTACCTGCCATAGCTACCCTCGTAAGGCGCTAAGGTCATGCCTTCCTGACTCAATGTTGTCCAATAACTAAGTCATACTATTTTGCCTGGTCATATATGCCTTCACCGTGCATCAAGACGCGCAACCATATCTCATCGGCACCAAGAGCCAAGCCACACGACAAAACTTATGCAACATCACATCACGTGCTCCATGGCATAATAGTAGAATATAAATAGCATGTGTACGCAAGTAAAGCATGCTAAACCTATCATTGAGTATGCAAGGGCAATATGTTATGACAAGGCAAGGATCAAACAATGCCAACCTATCGCATGATATAATAGGATTATAGCACCGATACATCTAGTTGTATGCTTGATAGAGTTATATGAGTGGGTGGGTATGAAAACCCTCATTGTTAGGGAGGTCGTCACCCTGGTTCTCTGTGTACTCAGGGTCCGCTAGGGCCTCCTCTTAGAAATCCTCTAATGCTGAAGGCACCGAAAACAAGATCAAGCAAGTAAACAACCATAGATATCACATAAAATCGATTCCTAACAAAAAAAAAGTTCAAAGTGCTTATATACGTAATTATATTACAAACAGTTCATTTTTAG